AAATGAAATTTTAAAGAAATTGAAAATCTTGTATACCGCATGAGTGAGTGACAAAAGTTACAATTAAAAAGTAAGAAAAAGCACAACATCAACACAAACAACAGAAGAAAAGAGAAAACGAAAAAAAATGGCCAAGGGTAACATGAAAATGATAATCTAGAATGTATCGGGGGTAGCTGGTAAAATCGCCCAATTCTGGGAGTCTGTAAGAGGATACGATGTCGTGGGGATGGATAGAAGAAAAGAATTCCGAATGAATTTGCAGGGTGTTAATTAATTGAGTACCGATGATGAATCCTCGGGTGATTTTAAGGAGAAAAGTTTATATCAACATACGTCCTAAACCTCTTAGTTTTTGAGCTACAGAGTGCTAAAATTTTAAGAACAAAGTGAGGATTTTATCATAATTTTTTATCACTTACAAATTTTTATGAAATTTTGTACACCCATTTTCATCATTAAGGGGCATTTTTTGACGTAAAAGATTTTTTTAAATTTTCACCAGTGACGTCCGTACGGGGTTTGAACTGACAATTTTATTTATTAAGTTTATGACATATTATGTCAATACAAACTTTTTTTTAATCACCCGAGGATTTTCACCCTGTATTATCGGCACTCAATTAATTAACACCCTGTATATGGAAGAATCAATTTACGAAGAGGGAAGCGCCAAATGAGGTTTCTTAACGAGGGTTAAAAAAAAGGGGATAAACGGAATGGGGAGATGAAACGAAAAACGAGGAATTCTTTTATTGGGAGAGATTTTAATGCCAAAACAGGAATTAAAAGAAAATGGGTAGATATGTGAAGAGGAACACGGGTAGATATGTGAAGAGGAACACGAGATAGAAGGGTGAGGTGTACTGGAATTATCATAAAAGAGAGGTTGAAGCATTTTAAACGGAAATTAAATTAAAAAATTAAATTAAATTATAGAGGAACAATGAGTAAAAATAGAAGAGAATACAGAGGGGTGGAATAATATAACGGAGATATAACGTAGAAACAAATGATTGAAGGGGAGGGGAGAGACAAAAGAAAGAAGTGGTGAGACAAAGAGTGCACAGAAGAAAGACGATAGAAAGAAAAGAGAAAAAAAGTATAAAAAAAAGGATAGAGAAACAGAAAGGATACGAAGAGCAAATCAAGGAAATAAAAACAGAAAATGATTTTTGGAAAATGATAAATAGAAGAAAAAAGAAAAATAGAATATGTGGGAAGGGGGAGGGGGAGGGGAGACGAATTATACGAATAGAAACAACCTTTTATCAAATTAGTACAAGGAAAGCACGAAAAAGAGGGCTATAGAAGAAAGGAGCGTCAAGGCGATGAGATAACAAGGGAAAAGATCGACTAGCAATTGAAGAAACTGAAGAAAGGGGAAGTGGTACGGAGAGACGAGATAAGTAACGAGGAATGGATTTTCAGCAAAGAAATAGTGTTAATGAAAGGATCAGAAATCTAGTGAACAATGTATGTAAAGGAGTGGGTTGATCCGAAGAATGAAAGGTGAAAGAGGAAACAAAGATTGTGGGGGAAAGTATAGGGGAACTACTATAATGACTACGGCGCGGCGTATAGAATGTATGTAATGATACTGAACAAAAGATTGGAAAGGGAAATGGAAGAACGTTGGAGGAGGAAACATGAATGCTGCATATGGTGGTAGTGGTAAATAAATTGGAAGAAAAGCGCGGAGAGGTGTTCGCGTTTTTCATGAACTTCAAATTAGTTTTCGACAGAGTGGGAAGACAAAAAAGTATAGAGATGGAGTATGGAGAGACAAGATTGAGGGTAAGAATAATAAGCATGAAAGAAAGAAGTTTGAAGTTTTTTTGTACATGTAAAAGTAAGACAGGAATACCCACTTAGCCTAACCTTATTTAATCTCTACTGAAAAGACATGGCAAAAATATTAAAACAGGACCAAGGTAGAGGAATAGTAGTGCGAACTGGGGAATGAGGTAGAACAGATGAAGGAAATGATGGGAAGAATGGAAAGGTATTGGGAAAGGAAAGGAATGGAGATAAATGTAGAAGAGATGTAGATGATAATTTAGGAAGGGGGGGGGGGGGGAAAATAAAAAGGAGATAGAATGGTTATTCAGAGAGGAAACTGGAACAAGTGCAATGCAAAAGATAGGGATAGTGTCGGGGAGCAGGGCGGTAAGATTCGAGAAAAGGGGCGATAGAGCAAGCTAATTGATGAAATGGTTGACAACGAGAATGAACAAAGAGGAAAATATTACGAAAGGAAAGGAGACGGGGGGCTGAGATCGAAAGGAGGAGAGGAGTAGGAGAAAAGAAGGAAAATAAGCTGGCAAAAAGGGACCTGGTGAAGATACAGAGCGCACGCGGAAGCATTAGCTATAAATACATAAGGAAACGGAGGCAAAAATAAGAAAGAAAATGTAGAATATGCAGAGAGCAAGAATAGGACATGGAATACATGTTATGGACCTGTACGCAGGTGGAAGGGACAGGGAGCAGAAAGAGTGTGGTGCTAGATGAAGGGGGAAGAGTGAATGACGTGAATTTTTATTATTCCCTAATAGAGCCCATTGTGTAGAAGGGCAAGTTGATATCTCCTTCTCAATCAAATCCTTCGTGATGCAGTCGTTCTCGATTTTCCGCACGACATTATTTCTTCAACCATCAGCAGATTCGTCGCTTTTTTGCCAGAGCGACTTTATGGTTTTCTTGATAAGTAGTCATAATAATGTACCCCCTTCTCCTAAACTCTTTACATTTCTGATATTGTTCTTCTTCTCTCATACCTGCGTGGTGTGTATGATATTAGTTAGTTGCAGTTCCACTACGCTCTCATTCCAAGTCGTGACTATTTTTCATTACCGTACTCCAAAAGAGAGCCACTCCCGTCTTCTCGCATCGCCTTCCATATTTCTACTAGAATGCCATCCAGCCGTTGGGTTTCCCGTTTACTAATCTCTAAACCTTGGTACTTTACTACCTCGATTTTTTTCGCTGTCACTTCCTTACTTCTCTTGCATTTACCTGTGTGGACCAGTTCATATGATGCTTAGTCCTTGCCCATTGCAACGATACTTGTTTTCCTTTTTCGTACTGCTTTATAGGTTCCGGTATCTCATTGACTGCTTGTTGATCCTTTTCACCCCCCTACCGTACCTCCTGGAGGACCCTTCTGTCTTCTGTCTCTGTCCCACCAGCACCACTCTTTCACTGATTCGTTGTGGCGATACATATCCTTCAACCCAGCAGCCAGAGCTGAGTGTTTCCAACCTCACTACTTGATTCTTTGATCTCCCTTTGCCCTTTGGCCATATTCATTACAGTGCAGAATTAAAGGAAGTGGCGTGTTTTTTTTTTGTTCAAAATTAGGACGCATTGTCAACAATTTGGTTGAAAACAAGCTATAACAATTAGTATCTTGGCTCTCATTTAGCCTAGACCTTTAGGCCTAATCACCCAATGTGATTTTTAGAAAACGATAAATAAATTCTTACTAGCTTATGGTGCAGCTAAAATAAAAATTGCCCAGACGTATTGAGAAAAAATAGATAGATAGCATCATCGAAAAAGACGCTTCATCATAATGAACGTATTTGCAAGAACCCATAAATATTGCCTTTCCCATCGCATTTTTGACAATAATAGATATGGAGAGAGGGCTGCTGTAGCAATTTCATTACGTCGTAACTCAGTTTATTGTTTATTTATTTACGTTTAGAAAAACCTTAGGGAAAAGGGCGTCTTGTCACATTTTGATGGTTCCAACTTCATGCTACCATTCCATAAACATACACAATAATCAGTTAAACGCTCGGATGCGGAAACCGCAGCAATTGGGCCATATTCGAATTATGCACACGCAGAATACGGTATCGATAAATAGCTTCACAAAATTTTCGGCGCAAGCTCGCGAAAATCCGCGAAAATATGACCCACATACAAATCGAAAACTTAGTAGACGTGATCAAAAATTTATATTCCTGAAATGTTTCCCTTTCGATGTAAAATTTTAAGCACCAAACCTGGGCTTATAAATTATTGATCCCCTTTCTCGCTTTTGGCGACAGTTACATTACTTTGCTCTAGTCGCGTCAGAGGTGTAGAAATGAAAGTTTGTTAACGCCTTCACTCTCATTAGATTTAATGTATTCGCAATCCCACTTAAATTATTTCATCTCGCGTCGTTTGTAGATGGGGTAATTGGTACTGCATCTACCTCTCTAAGAATTTGCAATAATAATACCTATATCTTGGATCCTTTAAATCGTTATTTTGATTGAGTACTCTCAAAAGTAAGAGTGGCTTTAGACCTTTGTCAGAAAATTTCAAAATTCTCATTTATAAGAGACATAAAAGGTAAAGTACCTTGAAAATTTGCAAACATTTAAACTAATCTGCATGCGTGGTGGGTATTAATCAAACAAATGCCTTTATTTGTTATGTTGTAAAGGACCAACAAAAATGAAGGTTTTTGTACCAAACCGTAAACTGAGCTAAGTACAATGCATTCCTAAAAAGGGATTTTTAATTATACACTCCCTTTGGAATAAACTAAAAAAAAGGACAAGATCTTTTCACGCCTCAGTTCCGTGAGTTATTTACTGTAATTTAACGAAGCAGAAATTCAAACAAAACACGAAAGAAAGATAGTTTGCATACAATCCCCTCGAATTAAAACAAAAACATCGGGACGAGATCTACGTACATACAACGAACAAAAAACCCGTGGGTGATAAAGGGATGGAAAAACTGAAGCTAAAATGAGCTACGTGCACTTATCTCATTTGCAAGTTAATTAAGAAACGGTAGCAAAATTGATGACAATTCAGTTTAGTTCCAATCCGCAGGAATCTATCGCCTTGATTAATTGAAAAATTAGAGCGCTCGCGTGTTAACGACCTTTAATGGCACGCTAATTTATCATGTCGAATACAGGGATAAGTAATATAAAAAGGGCTTAGACGATTATATTTTGCCGAGCTCGGGAATAATAGATAATAAATTACCTTTTTTGCATTTCTTCTGTATGGTTTTGGTGGACTCGCAGGTTGCCTGATCACCTTTCTTGAGGGTTAACGTTCTCGCGCGCATATTTGTCTTCGAATCGCATTCTGACCACGATCCTTTTACGTATCTGCAAGGTTCTGCAAGCAAAAAGAAATACCGTTTTAGTTTTACATCTAGTTTAAAGCTGATTCATTCTTCCAAAAGAGACAACACTTTTCCAATTAAAATGGGGGCCTAACATCTTTCCTTTGAGAACTTTACGAAAATAATTGAACATATTTACCAACGTGAAGCACTAATATCAAGTTTATTATAATAAATTACTTTTAAATCTAATAATTAAAGGGAGTCATTGGGCTCATGTGAAGGAAATGGGAAGGGTATGAAAAGAGTGTGAAGAACGGGGATGGGACGAAAGGAAATACGAGAGGAAATATGTAGGAGTAAAAGAATCGTGAAGGAAACTGGAAATCTATTCAAAGGTGGGTTCTGAAACGCTGGAAAATGTCAACAGACTTATCAAAATCTTGTTCCGGATATCCATAATACACTATTAAATTTGGCTTATACTAAAAATGACCCGAAACAAGAAAAATTTTCATTGAATAAACAAAAATCAGGATTTTCTTTACTTTTACTTTTACTGGAATTCAAATCGACACAAATTTTCTGACATCACATACAAAATAAATCTTCATTTTAACAAGCACATTATCGCAACACAATGACATACAAAAAGTACAATAAACATTCTCAAAAATCAAACAAGTTATCTGAAGGCTACAGCGCCTTATTGAAACATTTTACCTCGTTACAAACAGTCGAATACAAAAAAGTACTCACTACTTTGTTGTAATTATCCAAATTATTGTCTGATCCCACATGTACAGATGCGATAAACAACGAAAACAAACACTTTTGACAAAATTCCTGACGGTGTAACTTAAGACTTTGAAACACTGGCTGACTACCGGAAAAATGCGTACTTAAAACTTAAACGCACCGGACTGTTACGTACGCTAAGTCAATTCAATCAAGACCGCCTCGTTAGATCGGCTCCCACTAAAATACAAATTCAAAATCAGGTTTTTGAAACAGCAAAGCGGCCACCGGTTATATCGACCGTTGTTTACCGAACTTTCAGGGGAAGATTTTAATTTGTTTATTGTATTGCCATAAAGGGTGGGTTTAACTGTCATTAAATATAGACGGTATCCATTATTGTGTCCGTATGCAAGAGCCGGATGACGAGAAAATTCACTGACGATTAGTAATTATTATCTTAAATCATTGAAAGTTCTAAGAGTAGAAGTGAATATATTTAAATAAACCGAACTTGGTGCAAACTTAATTCAACAAGTAGATATACGTTATGATGGCGAATTTCTCAAACGTAAATGGAAAGGAGAAGCTTTTGCTGCAGTCACGTCAAAATTCAATTGTTTTTAAAACTAAGAAGAACAGTTCGGAAAACACAAACGAAAGCCTTCAATTTTTCCTACTATATTTATAGCGTTGTAAAATTCATACACTTGAAATAGCAACCGGGGGGTTAAATTGCTTAAAGTTTAAAACTCGGAAAGGCTGGGTTCCTCCCGTTGACACCAATTCGCTCTCCATGGAAACATTAATTCTCTACGTACCTAAGATATTTTCACTTTCATCTTTTAAATAATAATGCTAAAGACGACAAGATTCGTAAATTATCACCGTGAGCATTTGAGACCTGTTATCTCGTTTTTCAGTTGGTAATAAATAAACGTGAAAATGGGTCTACGAACTCACTCGAAGACGACGTTCTATCATATCCGTTATACGTATACTGCATAAATTTTATCAGGCGTGATAACAATGTATCCTTCTGATAAATCAATAAGTGCGATTTTGAAAGAAAAAAAACGTACCTATATTTCTATTGCTTAGTGCCTTCTGCGCCGCACTGAAGGGATTTTAAAACATGGATCTGATACCGCCCAATCTTTGGGCGCGATAATATATTGTGTAAGTGCAGTCTACCACTCAAAAATCCCAACGTTTGTCATGCTTATATTATTTTTTCGCACGATCAGCAGGAAAAAATTAAAAATTGGGTGTTTTCACTTTTTTACCCTTAGATCTGATAAATAACTCTGAAAAGCTAAATGTATCATGCGTCACTTTTCTTAACGCTAGAAGCCCCCGGGGGGTCAATTGACCACATTTCAGATTTAAATTTATATATCGTCTTTATTTTTAGCAAAAGAGGTTTGTGGTTTTATGGGTTTTTCTTAATTGGGAACTAGATTAATTAAATGAAAAAGTTTCATTGTAACTCTGGAAAATTTAGAAAATTTTTAATTTTTACCTATCGCACCCGACTAAGGTCAATCACGAATTTCTCAATTTTTTGTATATCAACCATGGATATTTCACGTTGTCGTACAGCAAATGGATTGCTCTTTTCAAAAATCTTAAAAATCAGACATTGCATTTGAAAAACAAAAGTTCCTGCCAAGCCGGAAGTGGCATCGGAAGTGTCAATATGCGATCGGATAGGTCGTAATGTCACATACAAAAGATATTTGTCAAATTCGTATCTTGTCAATTAAAAGAAATATTGAGGTGATCCTCTTATCTCGAACACTGTGTATATGCTAAATAATGACAATGATGTAAGTGAATTAACGAAGTTCAATATAATGTAGCTAAAAACACGAACGGAAACACAACATTCAGTTAAAATACATATAGGGCCAATTGACCCCTCGTGGGGTGTTAAAAAATACTGAATTTTATCACTTATAATTGCACAAGAGGTTTGTATTTTACCGAGTAAATTTGGGTTGTTTAGGTAATGAAAATCTCTTGCCTAGCAATTAGACGAGAAAAACTGTCAACTAATAAAAATGCGACACCGCAGGTGGAGCATTTTTAGGTTGACAGTTTTTCGAGTCCAATTGCTAAAAGGAAACAGATTTGAATTGCCACAACCCAAATTTACTCGGTTTAAATACAAACCTCGAGTGTAATTCGGCAGGACAATTTAACGAACAAGAAATTCACCAAATTAATCAATTATTGACAGACGTCAAACTAGTCATATGGGAAAGGATAATGCGATAATTGGTTCGAAAATGAATAAGTGAAAAAACCACTAGTGCATTTGTCGCTGGAAAAGTTGCAGGTAACTTTTGCCGCTGTCAAAGTGACAATTTCACTGCGGCTTATGCGATTTTTTATACATGAGTTGAATTGTCATATATAATACCATAAGTAGTCGAAGTATTGTCGAATATTTTTGAGGTGCTGTCACGAATGCTAGTTACGCTGATTAATACCACGAGCGCTTGCGCGAGTGGTATTAAAAAGCGTAACTAGCATGAGTGGAGCAGCAGCTCAAAAATAATCTACAAATACTTCGACTACGAATGGTATTCGGAGGACTATTCAATGAATCAAAAGAAAAATTAAGCATAATTACCCACGCGAATGTATTTCCATGACAACAATAAATGTCAAAATAAATTATGGAAGTTGCTTTTCATTTTGCTATTGATTCTATTCGAACTTTTGTGCTCCAAGCTAATTCGTTATGAGTGATTAAATTAAAAGATGTGGTGATAAGTCGGTTGTCGAAATTGATTAACAAACTAAGAAGAATGTTCCGGTTAATACGACAAAATTTCGCGTCATTTCACTGGTGGAAGTTTGACAAATGTCATTGAATAATCGCATTGAATTGTCGCTGAAATACCACACGTGAAATTGTCACTATAATTCGTTCCCATTGGCTCAACAATTTGAAATCTCGACATTTCACTGGTCGAAATGTGACAAATGTTAGATGAATTGAATAGTCTTTAAAATAAAAACTCTAGGCCTTTTGCACAGACAAATTTAAGCAGAGCTTAGCTTATGACAACCAATGTAGCACTAATTGTTATCATAGATTTTAGTTTAGGTAACTTTAGCTTAATTGCTCGGTGGTCATGAGCCATAAAGGCGCATGCGGTATCTCACAGAAGTTAAAGTAGGATTACTGAAACACTATGAAACGCCCTTAAAACTGGGCGCAGAGAAAACAATTACGAAAACAAAAAAGAGATTACTTGCATATTGTTGGACGAATGTTAGGGAGATTGTCCACAATAGTCTCCATTGTGTGGAAAAAAAATTCGGAAAATTTGAAATAACGACTAAAATGACAAAAGTTGACAAAAGATGGAACCACAAATTCTTGACAATCAAAAACACAAAAATCTATTGGGCGGAATATCTATTGCGGTACTCATCGGTATTGGAAACCTACGATCTATTCAGTTTATACGTGGAAAATTATCAAATTATCCGATCATTTTGGATTAAAAATATTACAAATTTGTCTGTTTTTAGTAAATAATTTGAAAATAGCGTACCTACTGTGCTTCCATTTTGGAGAATCTGCCTGTAGGTTTGGGAAGTCTCCATTCTTATGGAAGAGTTCCTTTGTTTATCGTAAATTAATTTTATTTTTGAGTTTATATTATGATTATAGTTGTCAAATTGATATAAACGCGTAATTTTAGCTTGGAATACTCGTATACTGTTGATTTGAATCACTGTTTTTCTCTGTACGAAAAGATAACTCAAGATCAGAAAATGGGGGATGCTGTAAAAACAGAAAAAGGTTTTAAACTCACTCAAGAGTTAAAAACTTGAAATAGTAGCTGTCCCCGCCCACTTTAGGGTTCTTTTCCTCGTTTATACAGGGTGTTATGGTATTTGTGCCCACCGACAATTCTAAGATAAAACTGACGAATGGAGAAAATATAAAAAACGCACCAAGCACGGTAAGGATAAATATAAAGAATTAAAAAAAAAGTAGATAACGAATGTAGGTTAGCAAAAGAACAATGGCTCGAGGGGAAATGCGAAGCAATAGTAGCTAACTTCAAAACAAGTCCAGTCCACTCACGACGTCACGCAGAGCTTAAAATTTGAATTTAAAATGGGATTCTTATGGGATTTGTTTCTTAATTCTTACTAACATTTTTTAATTATAATGACTTAGGAGAAAAACTATATTGGAATTATAAAAGTAAACGCAAAATATCCCAAAAAATATGAAGAAATCGATAAAGATCGCCTTTGAAAATGCTAGAAGCTATAACTAAGCGCA